GAAACCCTTCCTTTCGGTTTTCTGAACGTACTTAAACAAATACTTATACCTCATACTCAGTAAATATATCCTTGGTTCCAAGTTTCCTAGGATATATAATGTGACCTGTTGATGATCGCCTGCAACAGTTCCTGATACCAACAATTCTAGTTTTTCAACATGGATGATATTGTTGTTGCTTGTTGTTGTTATTTGACTATGATCTAATTATTTCTTTGCAGTTGCTGCTGATAGTGAGCAGTCTCACGGCGACAAAGGAAATTGAAACTAAAGTGAAGGTGTCCGAGCTACTAGAGTCCAACGGCATCAAAGATGAGGTCAAGTCGGAGAAGGGCAAGCGCCAGATTTTCGGAACCGGCATCGCGGGCTCCTCGTTCCTGGGATCACCGCTAGGTTTGTAGTTTGAATCAATTTCATTAGGAAATAATACAGCCATTATCATCATCATCAGCTTATTAGTACCCAACTGCAGGGGCACAGGCCTTCCCTATGGATTGAATGGAGATAATGGGCTGCGACCTACCATGCTGGCCCAGTACAGATTGATGGACGCTAATGACTGCAGATGCAGCTGGGACCACCGGCTTAACGTGCCTTCCGAAGCACGGAGGAGCTCGAGATAATAAGTTTTTGGTCACCCATCCAATGACCGACAATTGCCAAAGTTGCTTAAGTTTCACGATTGCACGCCGAATGGTGTAACCACTTCCATTGAGCTCCATAGCCATAGTAAATATGATATTGGTAATATTGATTCCTAAAAATAGTGTAAAGATTCTCTTTCTAGTAAGTAAAAACTATGGATTTTTAAATCTAAGAACAAAGATCACTACAAAAAGTTTTAAACAAATATATATCTTTTTCAAAGGTTTCGGATCAGGACCGGGGTCATCTTTTGGCCCTGCAATATCTCCAATTGGGTCGGGAATATCGCCGTTTGGTCCTGCGGGCAGGCCGGCAGTGGCCTTGCCCGTCGTTGCACCAGCAGTCCCTGTTGCCTCCCAAGCTATACCCGTCGCAGCCCCAGCAGCCCCAGCAGTGCAAACATCAGTAGCTATAGAACCAAACCCCGTGATTCTCAGACAAGAAGTACCGAGGTACATCACTCGCACTATCACCCGCGACGTCCAAGTACCAGTTCAAGTGCCAGTGCCATATCCAGTGGACAGACAAGTCCCAGTACCAGTAGAAGTCCGAGTACCAGTGCCAGTAGACAGACCTGTGCATGTCGTACATAAAGTACCGGTCGAGGTTACCCGCCATGTGCCCGTTTATTACGAGAAGAAAGTGCCATACCCGGTGAAGGTTTCTGTACCAGTGCCGTACCCAGTGGAGAGGCAAGTACCGGTGGACAGGCCGGTTTACGTGGACCGTCCGGTTCCGGTACCGCAACCGGTTTATGTAGACCGACCGGTGAATGTACCAGTGCCTGTGCAAGTTGACAGGCCAGTACCGGTTCCGCAGCCAGTAGTTGTGGACAGGCCCGTAGCGGTGCCGCAACCGGTAGTAGTGGAAAGAAGAGTTCCGGTAGCAGCTGTACAAGCCGTACCAGCAATATCAGCTGTTCCAGCAGTACCAGCTTCAATAACTTCAATATCTTCACCGATTTCCAATTCTATTCCCGGTATATCTAGCGGTATTTCTGGAATTCCAAGCGGTTTCTCTAATTCCGTCTTTTCCAACTCCATCTCTGGTTTCCAAAGTACTCTCAAGTAATAGGGATGATGACTATTGTTTTTCTTCGTTTATCAGGTAGATTATCAAAAATTATTGGACACGTATTTTTTTGTTTTTTTCACATAATATAAACATTGCAGAGATATATTGATTTGAAAAGTCGCATGACGTCACGTTTGAGTACACTTATAAGTGAAAATTCACGAGTCACGAGCCCCTACTCCTAAACTTTGACGCGCTATAACTTTGTCATTTTTTGGTTGATTGCCCAAAGAAAAAATACGTGTCCATTATTTTTTGATCATCTAACTGACGGACTAAATAGAATTTCGTTTACTGTACCCCGTCATCACCCCTTATTTGTGATGTTTTTTTATATCGTAAATACCAGAAATAAAACACGTGATTTTTATAAGTACGATTTTTTTATTTCAAATGTTTAATCGCTACTTTTCGTTGTATTAAAAACAATAAAAATAGTAATATCTAATTTACATTTCAACTCCTTTTATTTATCTAAACCTTAACATATTTTTTTTACTATGAGTAAAACTATATCACACTGTAAAATAACTAGGGCCTGTTTCACAATGGGTAAGAAAAGTTCCAAGTAAGCTACTTCGAAAATGAAGGTGCGTACAAACTACGCTTTAAGTTATAATTTTTATTTTTAAGCATGTAACTGCTAGAGGATTAAATCTAAGCGTTGCCTTGCAGCTTAAGAAAGGCTAGAAAGAATTCGACACGGCCATCAAGACTGCGATAGCATAATGGTCAGTGCATTCGCCTGAATAGCGAAGGGTGCGGGTTCGAGTCCCGTCTGCTGCCTGGTCCGCGTGGTTTTTTTTCTAGTAACGTATTCTAAGTAACTACTATAAGTTTTATAGCTTATAAGTTATAAGCTATATACTTTATATGATGCTTTTTATAAACCACATCATACATTTACATAAAACGCGTTCACACCACGCTGTCTACATTTTAAGGGGCTTGTTGGCTATACGCGCTAGCTATACTTTAAAGCACAATATTAGTATAGCGTTGTCTGAACGCAATTTTATAATTGCAGTAGCTTATTGAGAACTTCACTTATCGATTGTGACATACAATACTATATAAAGTTAGGTAGGTATTTTTTATCGAGAGTAAAAAATACATACTTCATTTTGTTATTTTCAAAATAAAAACTATATTCTAAACTTATGTAGAGAAGGGGCAAATAACCTATGAAAGTATATAACGGATTCAGTTATATTTGTATTTTTTACACGGTAACTATTTTTATTACCTAAAAAGAGTAAAGTTATTTCATATTCTATTATTTAAGTTTGATGAAATAATCCTAAATAACAGATAAATAATAAATGTAGGAAATTCTTATTAACATTTAAATAATCAAAGAAATATTTTTTTGTTACCGTCATTAGTGAAGTCATTCACCTGTATAAGGACTAAAAAGAAAGAAAATCATTGCCATCACAAAATTGTATTTTGTAGGTAGGTCAAAAACTTAAGTTAACTTGTCGGTTGCTTAGAAAATGATGCATCTGGTCGTCGGGTTCATCTTGGGTTCTATTTCTACGTCGTTCTCTCAAGCTCAAGATAGTAAAATTTTGGGTCTCACATAATATATGATGACTAAATATTTTATTTATTGTTACCATTATCATAATGATTTATCCAAACAAAGACCAAAATATAAGCATTCAAAAAGATACAATAATTATTGCCATCCTAATGATACACGATTTCCCAGTATAAGAATTAAAAAGAAATAAATTATTGCCACCCTAAAAGTACTACATAGGTAAAAAAGAAATCTTTAAATAATAATATGATGCAACTAGTCGGCGGGTTCATCTGTGAGCCGGGAGGACAGTTGTCATCAAGGGCGGATCCAGCTTTGGCGCCAGGGGGGTCATATAGTCGTGGTCAAGTCACAGTGGGTACAAATGGACCCAGCCCAGGGGGGGTCATGACCCCCATGACCCCCCCCTCTGGATCTGCCCTTGGTTGGCATCCTAGTAATACACGATTTCCCAATAAAATGACTATTATGAAAGTAAAATTATTGCCATCCTAATAATACTAGGTAGGTAAAATAAAAGAAACATAGATTATAGCCACTCTAATACTAGTAGTTAAGTAAAAAACATGTCTTTAATCAGTTGGTACCAATGCTTTAACTTGCCATTCGAATAGGGTTGCCAGATGCTGGCTTATCAATTCCGGGATATTTGTACACCCCCTGAAAAAATAAAGCATCAAATCAAAACCAAATCCCCCAAAATCCCCCAGAATTAAAACATCAAGCAGGTGTCATTCGTTAATTGTTTATTTTGTTACGAAACTAGCACATTATCGGAATCCGGGACAATAAGGTATAATTACTGGACACGCGACAATCCCGGAAATCCCGGCCATTTGGCAACCCTACATCCGAAATACGAAGGAGCTCAAGATAGTTAAATTTTGGTCTCTCACTTAATATGATGACTAAAATTATACTTATTGAAGTTATACTTCTTTAGCCGCGTTATGAAAAAAATATGAGAGTGAAATTTTAAGATGCGCGCGCATCACTGTAACACAAAAGTAACATAATGAAATTAGCCGCGGGCGCGTTATGAAAAAATGATGAGAGTGAAATTTCGAGATGCGCGGGCATCACTGTAACACAATAGTAACACCATGAAGTTGGCCGCGGGCGCGTTATGAATGTTAGTGTCTAATTTAATTATTAGACATCTGTTCGAAAGGTACTTTGAACGATCCACGGAGCTCCATAAGATGATCGCGTTGTCAAAAACAATGTTGGCACGCTCGTCGCCTCTGATCACTGTTTTCATATTTATAATATTTATCCACATGTTTCTAGTTTCTATATAGACATAACGTGTTTTAGTTACTTACAAGTGCTAATTACATATGGACTAATAACTTAAATTCAGTAGTGATTTTAATTGAATATTTTGAATATTTATTTAATTTTTCAAATTAAAGCTGAACTTAATTGACTGTGTTAACTATCCTTTTCCAGTCCTTTTATTATTTTATTGTGATTATTAATTATTTGCATGCAATTAAAAAATATTTTTAATGATGCTAAAGAAGTATAACTTCTCGCGCGCGTACATAAGTTACACGCATCCATTTTTTTTATCTAATTTTAGCATAAACATAACATAATGATTTTACCAAACAAAGACCATATAAATGCTTATATGGTAATTGTTTGGTTTAAATCATTATGGTTCCCATAAAAGAAAGATAAATTATTGCCACTTTAAAAAATACTAGGTAGGTACAAAACGTGTCTTTAATCAGAATATGATGCATCTAGTCGGCGGGTTCATCTGTGAGCCAGGCGGGCAGTGAAAAGACCTGGCAAATTCTTCGTTGTTTTGTAGTGCTCCTTTGGCCCTGAACTGCTGCGGAGAATGTTCGTCCTCCAGGTCAGACTTCAAGGAGTCTTTTGTCGAAACGCCGCACCACAGCTGTATGAATATAAACAAAGAGGGAAAGTTATAAAGGTTCTGCAAGTTAAGGCCTATGAAAAAATCTTGTATGATCTTATATTTGACAGCAAATGAAACAGACAGAGTTATGTGAAAAGTTGGTGGAAGGAATGAATGCTACCCAACTCGTTATGTTATTCAAATTTAGAATTTGGCTATAGCTCTGTACCCTTAGCACGAACCAATATCGAATTCGTAACGTTTGCGAGTCCAAAATGTCATTGTCAAATGAGTACTGATTTTTAGTTCTCGTTACGTACTTTGTGGCACTGCTGTACAAGTTTCCATACAGAATTTGACAATGAATTTTCGAAATTTCCGACTCGCAAACTATTCGAATTCGATAATGGTTCGTGCTAGGGGTAGGTTGCAATTTAGCTGAATGAAAATCAATTTTCCGAATTAAATAATCTTTTAGGAGCAAATTTTATCAACAAAGCGCACGATATACAACAGAGGCTCAAGCACATGATAGCTCTTTAATTGTATCGTCAACGTCAAATTTTGTATTTAAGAAAACGAGTTTGTTCTTCCGTCCTTTAGGGGACTCTGCTTAGTTTTCATAGAAACTGACGCGACAAGATTAAGGATCTGCCAAAATTCGTTCTTCGGCCTTTGAGCGCGAATATAACAAGATTCGATGCCCTAACTTTATGTGTAAACAATGTGAAACTTTTGTAAATTTAATCATTAAGACCCGTAGAAAGATTTCCAGTGATAGATCTAGTGTTGAGCATAATTAGAATGGCATGTCGCTACATATAGCACATAGCGACATCCCTTTCTAACTGTACTCAAGTAAAGATCAACAGTTAGTTGTCATTCTGTAATACGGGACTAAGTCACTCACATTGCCGTACGACAAAAAGAACAGTTGCTCTGAGGTCATGTGTTCGAAGCCGGGCAGCTTTGGCTCCGGCCCGTGCTTATGCAGATGATGCCTTAAAGCCGCGAATGCCTCTCTCACCCCGCCGTTGTCTGCTATGTTCTCTCCTAGAGTCTTCTTACCATCAACCTAGATCAACATACGTAGAGAGAGATGAACTTCTTAGCAATCCATGGATCGGCGTTGCCATTGATACGGCAATTACCGTAATATACGGCAATTTGAGCTCATAATTTCAGATTATACGGCATACGGAAGGTTTGTCATTGCCGTATAATAATACTAACTACCTGTAAATTTTAATAAATAAAATTAGGTAATACGGACAAATCATGATTTTTATTTAAAAATACGGCAATCTGATGTATCGAATACGGCAACTCTTTCAAATTTGATGGCAACACTGTCATGGATTCACCGTGCAGGTGTCGGGTCCATCGTGTGGGAGAGAGAGAAACTCTGAGCAGTTCCCGGGACTTGTGACCCAGGTGTAGGTTTAAGGAGGTCCCCTTTGAGAGTGCATCAACACGCATCTTCACTGCTCGAGTTGCCTGCCCTTCCTAGCCAAATTTGATAGGGGTCTGGTAGAGCAGCCTTAAGCAAGCCATACACGGTAGGGTTTACCTGACAGGTTTACCTGTACAGTTTAACTATACAGAAAACCGGAGTGTGCAGCAAAACTGCGCAGGTTTCCACGCCTGTACAGGCAACTCGAAAACATATGAATTTTGATATTTTCTACCTGTGCAGTTTAACTGTGCTAAAATAAAACTAATCGTGTGTGGCGTCGTCTGTCCAGGCGTCAGTTGTCTGGTGATTGTTAGAGCGATCGGGGTCATGGTTTCAACTGAAAGTTTGTGCAGGTTTACCACTACGTGTATGGTCTCTACTAAACTCAAGTTTATCTGTGCAGTTGAACTGTACAGGTAAACCTGTCAGGTATACCTTAGCGTGTATGGCTTGCTTTAGTTACTCGTCAGGTCTAGGTCTTTTAGAAGGTTATATAGAGATTTTGCTGGTATCCCCTTCAGTCCTACTTCTACCGCATATAAATTAACAAGATAGCTATTTTTAATTAGTTGGTTGATTTTTTTGTAAAAAAATAAAAGCCAAATTTTCAGAAAATGGTTAAGCTTTGGAAAGTAGGTAGATCATAGGATCAAATCTATCAGCAAGGATCTAAATAATTATGACCTTAAATATCTAGGTTGACCATTTACATCAAAATCAGGACCGGAAATCGTAGGACATTACGTAAGCAATTGGATCGAATAATTTTTAGCAGTATTTTAATGTGTATTTCGCAAGTTAAATATTAGGTTTGCCTGATTAGTTATGTTTTTATTTGTATCATGAGCAGATTTATACATATATTTATAATAGATCCATGTATGTACAGTTCGTTTTCGTTTTAATATACATTTCTTTTTACTTTTGAGACTAAATATTTGGAAGATTAATGAAATATAGATATATACACACATGAAAAGTGTCTAGGGATCAACATATATTTTTGCAATAACTTTTCTCCTGATTGATATTAATTAAAATTTTCTTTAAGGATTCATCAAATAAAGTGTTTTCGTTTGTCACAGTAACGATAAACCAAGTCACCTTTGCATTAATAAAGAAATTTGCCATTTTCCTAATAAAGGGATTTTTGACATTTGAACCACTAACACAAAAGTTCGAAAAAAAGACTGAAATAACAGTTTTCTCTAAAATTTTATTGGGTAACTTAAACAATTAATAATCCGTATTTCTACCGCGAACACTAACAACACAAGAACATCGGTTTGGCATACTCAAAATGAGTTCATCCAAATCACGCTGTGGAATGGCCGCCCATGTTCGTTGCAACAACAAAAAAAGGTCTTCTTGCGACTGGATACCCTCCATATTCGGCAGAGCTCTTCTCTGTAGCATATCCCATGCATGCTCAATCGGGTTCAAGTCTGGCGACTGAGCAGGCCAGGGCAGGACATTGATGTTAGCTGCGGCGAGAGTCTGTCTTACAACTCTTGCGGTGTGCGGTCGTGCATTATCATGCATTAACTGAAATAAGGGACCGATTTGCACTTGTAGAGGAACGATGACGTCTGATACAATCGTCTCAGCATAAATTTGAGCGTTGAGGTTGCCTCTGATCCAAATCAACTCAGTTCTTCCGCCGATCCAAATACCCGCCCATACCATGATGGTTCCACCACTATAAGGATGGACTTCCTGGCAGGATTTTAATCGCTGTTGGCGTCCAGGGGTTCTCCAGTGTCGTATACGTCTTGTATCCGGTCTCATACCAAAACGAGACTCATCAGAAAAGCACACGAAACGCCATTGTTCTTCTGCCCAATTTCTGTGTTCAAGAGCCCATTGATATCGAATCCTACGATTGTGCATTGCTATAGGTGGTACCCGTAGCGGTCTTCGGGAATGAAGGTTCACTTCATGCAAGCGGTTTCTGACTGTTTGGTCGCTAATTAAGTTCCCTGAAGAGTGATGAAGCCTCACGGCTAACATCATGGCGGTTATTGTTGGAGCTCTTCGAGTTAAGATTTGAATGTATCGGTCTTGTCTCCGTGTGGTGCAGCGATACCGTCCTCCATGGCGCTCAGCCACGGTACCAGTGCTTCGGTATCGTGTCCAAAGTCGACTGATAACACTCTGACTTGTATTCAGAGCTAAAGCCACAGTACGTTGCCGGGAACCAGCTTCTATCATTCCCACGGCTCTGAGCATTTCTTCCCTGCTTAAATGACGTCGCCGCTCCATAATAACGTTGGTTTTAATCAGTAGTAGGGAAACAGTAGCACTAATAATGTCTTCAATGCGTTGTATGTTTTTATAGGGAAAATATTGACAGCTGATTTTCATCTTTTACTCGAATTTGATTCACAGTTCCTGATTCAAATTATGAAATGCACCAAAAAGGATCCATATAAATTTATAAAATCATAAATTTATTACAAAGCCACATCTCAATCTCAAGAAATCCGCATAAAAATGCTTGATCCCTAGACACTTTTGATGTGTGTATTTAAAGAAAGCAATACTATCTCCAAGAAAAAAATAACAGCTGTCTCTCTCTATGTTATTCTTCTACTTCTAGTCTAGTATTAGTTCCATCGCTCGGGTCGGCAATCAAACCAGCAACCTTGACGAAGGCGGCTAGACTCGGCATGCTAACCACCCCACTACGAAGGTCAAGAATGTTTCTAGAATTGTACACAAGAATATACAATTTTGAAACAAAATTTAGGTGGAACTTAGTTGCTTTTTCCAGCTGAGCATCTTCATAAAGCTTAAAAAAACATAGTAAAAGTAGCCATCTTACTCGGAAACAAGTAGCCATCTTACCCGGAAAAATCATCTTACTATCAAATCATTCCGGCTATTTTTGCGCGATGGGGTTTGTATTACATGGGGTAACAAGCGAAACTGCTGTTGTGCATATATAAGAATAAGAATAAAACATTTATTTTCAGTCAATTAAAGTACTAAAATAAATAATAATTGATTGATGACATGTTGTATATGTCTAAAAATAGCCGGAATGATTTGATAATAAGATGGCTCCTTTTTTCCTTGTTTCTTAATGCTTTCTAAAGATGCTTAGCTGTTATTACGACAGTAACACGTAAAAAAATCAATATGAAACATCCATCGCCGAAATGCGTACAAGCAAGCCTAATTCAGCATACAGTTCAGTCAGTCTACTGAGTAGATAGAGTAGACTCTACTCTATCTACAGTCTTTGAAATAGGGGACAGCTGCGTATGGCTATTTCCCTTTACCTTGCTTTGTGATAAAGTATTCTACGTTATAAAAGGTGGCTGGTCGGTCAGCAATTACCTACAGGTGAAGTGGGACGATCGATTTGTTTGCTCAATAAATTCTAATAAGTTATACACACCCATCAGGTTACGTAAACTGGAAAAAATTGACTTTGCAGAAGTTTGGAACAAAATACTTGTACGGTACACCTAGAGTTGATATGATAAGTAAAAGATGATATAAGAATTTAAACTATTTATTACTATATAAAAAATTGATACTATGCTATGATAAATTATTGATAGATGAGAGCGCGCCCGCCGCGATCGTTAAGGAAACGTGAACTGTTGTAATTTTGTTATTATTAACACAATTATGAAAAGTGATTACTTCGCAAGATGTACGCTTGAACCGTACAATACTATTGATTGGTATCACAGAACACAGAAAGAGGTTAGAAGGGTGATCATATACCGTTTGTACGGGGAGCGCCGCCGCGCCGGCTCACTCCCACTACACTTCCACCAAAAAGATGATAGCCAAAGAAACGACGCGACATCAAACAATCGAACCAATCAGCATTAACACCCGAGAGCAACGACGCAATCAGAACCAAGTTTTGGTCAAGTAATGAGCATTTGCATTTTTTATTTATGCATCTACAATGCAAGGTCGCTTTTACCTGACGAAAGACTACTGGATTTTAAAATTTTGAAATAATTGATCTTTTGAAAGACATATATAGTAAAAGCGTAAGTTAGATCACAACTCACATGTTCCCCCAATTCGGGCACGTAGAAGGTAGAGTACTGGTCGACGAAGCACTGCGTCATGTTTACGAAGGATGCGACCGTCTCGTTGGTCCACCACGGCAGGAAGTTGCCATCCTTGTCGAACTGCCGACCTGAGCGAGAAATGCCAGTGTAATCAAAAGTTCTTTATTCAATTTAATATTTTGAATTGTCTTTTTTTTCCCTACTTCAAAGTCAACTTTTCAAAGTGCCAAGGCTGAACTCCGAAACTTGAATGAAGTTTTAAGTGTGATGAAAGTTAGCTGTGAAGTTAGTGCTGTCACTATCTTTGCGATGATTTTAAAATAGGACAACAATGACACTTATTTTTAAGTTTAATGAAAGTGAAGCAAAGATGTGGAAGTTTATTTGTTCATGATCATGACGTGGTCAGCCACTGACTGGCCATTAGGAAAGTGGCTGTATTGCCATGATCACCAAATTTGTCCTAAATAAACATTGCTCCATTGAGCTCCTCGATTCTATGGTACCACCACCACCACGTCTAGACAGACGCCTCGCGTCGCACATCAGAAAAAACAATCAGATTGGTATTATTTTAAGGAAGGTTATAATGATTAATCTAACCTATTATTATTATAAATGTGAAAGTTTACATATTTAAGACACAATTACGCAAACACTACTGAACGGATTTTGATGAAATTTGGTACGTTGAGTAGTTTTACATAGGATACTTTTTTATCTTGGAAAAGTATTAGGTTCTTCAGGGATTTCCATAAAGTTAACGCAAATAAAGACGCGGACAGCCACTGGATTATAATAATACAGGTCAGCACACTATGAAATAATAAATAATAAAAAGAAACACACACACACACACCATGAAATAATTTACCGAAATTATCGAAGCCGTGAGTTATTTCATGGCCCAGCACCGTTCCAAGGGAGCCGTAGTTCAGAGAGCTAAAATTAAATAAACGATTAATACAACATAACAAGAAAATGTTAATAAAGTCAAATGCTACATCGAGAAAAAACGATACTTACTCTAACCCCAAGTCAAAAAAAGGGTATTGTAACATTACCATTGGTACAGCTGCGTCCAAAATATTGTCAAGCAACTTTTATTTACAAGGAAATAGAAATTTATCAACTATTTTTATTTTACTAAATACTTCGATGAAGTATGAGTAATTAAGCTTACTTATAGTGTTCTCTTGAAATGTGTGATACGCATTTACTTCAGTTGGATCCGTGGCCCATGTAAAATTATTACCAACCCGAAATTTATTTAGAACCTTCTTAATTTTGAATTGTATTATTTGAATCATATTTTTCAAATGCGTATCGGAGGTCACTTCTATACCACTATAGTATTCTTCTAACCTCCCATCTTCCATGAACCAATCAGGGAAACCTATGAGAGTCTTCATTTGTATTATTTTCTGGTAGGTAGCTAATTTTGTATCATCGTCCATCCATTTAGCTTTACCTACTAAATGAGCTAGTGAGTTTTTCATCTCATACAGCATTGTTTGCACCTGAAAAATTGTTGAGTATTCTTATTTACAGAGATGTTACTATTTTTTTATACAAAATTTAATGCAGATGCGATATAAAACTAATAAGAAATTCATTACCTAGTTATTGTAGTACATAATTTTTAGGAAAAAATAGCTCTTAAAATTACTAACTACCAGTTCTTATCCTAATTACCAGATTGCAATTTAAGATAGTAAATAACCTTGGGCTTCGTCACATTGAAGAAGTTTGGGTCAGCGATGGCGTATGACACGGCCATGCCCATCATGTCGTTGACAGCACTCGCGCACAACAAACTGCGGGGAGGAGGGGACCCACTCAGTTTCTTCGAATGGATCTCATCGTATGATCTTTGAAATATCATTCGAAGTTCTGTAGTCGTATGAGCTGCCATAACTTCAACCACCTAATTTAATATATAAAAAAAATCTTATAAAATGTTTCCCGGTTCCATTACTTACTCACGACATCCAAATTTTACCTTTATCCAAACGTAGAGCTCGACTAAAACCGGTGGTGTTTTAGATATAATTGTTGCCATACCAGCTAAATACTTCATATCTGGTTCAGTGACCAGTATTTTGTCATCCTCAAAGTTTAATTCTGTATCAGATATGTTGAATACTCCTTCTAAGTATCTTTTCCAAACCGGTATTACTGTGCCATTATTCTCGCTTACTACAGTATCTGTAAGTTCTTGAATTTCATCAGCTGTATACTGGGGTATGTTTAAATATGCATCATCGTCACCGGTATCAGTTTCGTTGTCTGATTCTAGCTGAAAATATTTATAACTATTTGATTTGTAATTTAATATTTAAAGTATAGTATTTAAAGTTCATTTTTTCGATAATTATTCTCTCTTTGAGTATTTATAAACATTCTTTATGGTTAGGTTTGGCTAAAGTGAAATTGAACCAATCAAACATTAAATATTCCATTTTAAATTCATAAGTGTCAATGTCTTTTAAGTTCACGATAAATTGGCTCTTTTTGAATTAATAAAGTACAAGTGACTTCATGGAAGTCGTTTACCTATAATAATACAGTTAGGTGTTCCATGAACGGACATAATTATTTGAATCAATAAAGAAAAGTGCGTGGGCATATAATAGTTTTCCTTTTTTTTTATTACTACCCAATAGGTTCGATGTAATAAAAGTACAGTGACCAATAATATAATGGACGAACATAACGACTACAATATTATTAGTAGACATAATTATACTTTTGATTCTTTGAATGAGGCCAAAATTGTTTTCTACCTGGAAAGTAACTTTGTAATTATTTTTTACTAATTAAATATACCAATTATATTTTATTAAACAATAAGTAATTATCATCGGACATTGTGTAGGTAGGTAGTCTATGAAGTTGTCGTGTTCGTGACATGATACATCGACACGACCATTAGAATCACTGATAAATTCTACTGCAGTGTCGTTGATCACGAACCTAATAGAGTTTAATATTGCTAGTAAAATTATAATTCCCATTAATTTTGATACCTATGATAAGATATCATTATATATTTTGTCAGAAATCACGACCTGTATTCTTTAATAAATAGTCCAGGCAACGAATGCTCAAAAACAGGTATAGAGGGAATTGCTTAGAACACAATTTTTGACTTCGTGACTTTGTTAGGACTAGTTAGGAGGTAAACATATCAAAAGTCCCCGCCCGTAGCCCTTAAGCCGGGGGGAGGGGGGGGGGGGGGGCTTGAAGGTCCCATTTTTAGGTTTTTCGCATATATCTCGAAAACTATGCATCCTAGCGACATGAGACTTTCACAAAAGTGAAAGCTGATTAAATTTGCTACAAGTCTTATTGATATTGCGAAGCCGCGGAATCCCCGTTTAGGGATTCTTCCGCGTCTCCGCACCTAGCAGCCTCCCGGCCTTGCCGAGGTTCCGCGGCAGGGGTCTCCCGGGGTATCGCGAGGACCCCACAGACGTGCGCAGGACGGCCCGCGCGTGGGGGCTGAGTACGCGGCCTAGTGCCCACCGTACCGCCCCCATACGTCTACTACACTAACAATTTTGTCCTTAAATAAAAAAAAAAGACAATTGTTTCTATTATTGAAGATAATTTAATGCTCTACAACCCTACGGCCGGCATTTATTTTTTGGGTGCATTGTTGAAGAGTTATCCGGTCAAATAGAGCAAAAATGGGAACAATTTTTTTTTCCATAATTACAGACTTTCAAGAGCGGATATCTCGAAAACTATACTATAGATATCAAAAAATTTGACTGAATAAGACTTGTAGCAAATTTAATCAGCTTTCACTTTTGTGAAAGTCTCATGTCACTAGGATGCATAGTTTTCGAGATATATGCGAAAAACCTAAAAATGGGACCTTCAAGCCCCCCCCCTCCCCCCGGCTTAAGGGCTACGGGCGGGGACTTTTGATATGTTTACCTCCTAACTAGTCCTAACAAAGTCACGAATTCAAAAATTGTGTTCTAAGCAATTCCCTCTATACCTTTTCGTTGCCTGGACTAAAAGTATAGAAGGCGTCTCACTGTCATGACACATGTAGGTAAAGTATATTAAACATTGAAGATAGGATATTTTACTAATAGGAGAGATAATTTTATTTGTAATGATAAGTAGAAATGCATTCACAGATATTATAATATCACTTGCCTCAACCGGGAATAGAACTCCTGAAACCTGAAAATGAAATAATTTTAACTAACCGTCATAGGGATCAGTTTTTTACTAAATAACAAAGATTATAAACGAAACGAAGATCAGGCATGTTATGTAAAAGATTTTTAGTTTACAAGAACCGATACGACATTTTTTTCTTCCACCGTCGATTTTATTTTAATTTGTCTTCAGATGTTTTAAATAAAATGTTAATTTTCATGCTTTGTCTTTAATTTATAATGCTATGTTATTTATGAAAAAAAAAATACATATGATTAACCCTTACGAGCGTGTACAGATCCCACATAAGAAATGAAAAGGGTTTCTCGCGCTTTTAGCTTTTGAATACGTAGATGAAATAAAAAAGACAAAACTGTGTCCAAGGCGAAAACAAGAAGGATTTATTTGTTACCAATTCCTTATATCTACAACACTGACGCGAAAGTTTTGCGCGATTCATAATGGTACAGCGCCATCTAGTGGCAAATGTTATAACTACTAATTGTAATATATTTTTTAATGCTTATTCGAACATACCGCCCACCATGAACCAATGGTTCATTAAATAATACCTAACTAAAAACAGCAAACACTAAAAATAAAACAGCAAAATACATAACAATATAAACAGTGGGTGGGCATTGGATACTTTTGGAAATTGGATAATTTGAACTTCACAAACATGCTAAAGTAACACATTATATAAACAGCTTGTTATAAGAAAACATATTATGTAAATGCAAAAAAAATGTTTTGAACGTTACTTAGCAATTGGTAAAATACATAGTTTTGATACTGGTCTCTTAATTACATTACCATTACATCTTAGACTTACTACACGAGTAACATTGTCCAAGCCTGTATGTTTGTTTGTTATGATGCCATAAAGCCACCTTGCAGGAGGAAGGTTATCTTCCTTCACTAACACAATATCCCCTATATTTGGTTCAGGTGTTTGGTAACTCCACTTATACCTGTGCAAGAACTGTGCAAGGTATTCCTGCGACCATTTTCGCCAAAACTCTTGAACCATACGTTGAGTAAGTTGCCACCTCCTCAAGGTACTAACATTGGATGACATGTAATTGGCATCTGGTACTAACATAATGGGCTCGCCGACTAAAAAGTGCCCGGGTGTCAACGGCATTGGATCCTCAGAATTAGTACTTACACATGACATGGGTCTCGAATTGAGGCATGCTTCAATTTGAGCCAGCACTGTACTCATCTCCTCGAATGTGAGTGTCGACGTTCCTATTACTCTCCGTAGGTGGTGCTTGGTGGACTTTACACCAGCTTCCCATAACCCTCCGAAGTTAGGAGAGTGGGGTGGTATAAAATGCCATTCGGTGCCGTTGGAGGCCAACCATTGTGCTATTTCTGGTACCAAAGCAGATCGTTCTTCAGCGAGAAGAAATTTCAGTTCGCGAGCTGCTCCTACAAAGTTAGTTCCATTATCACTAAAGAGCTCAGAACAGTGATCTTGTCTTGCTACAAATCTTTTAAACGCGGCGATGAATCCTTTGGCTGTGAGATCACTAACCACTTCAAGATGTATGGCCCAGGTCGCCATGCATACAAACAAACATATATACCCTTTGTATGCATGATGACCACGGCCTTTTGATGCTCGGATGTTGATGGGACCAGCATAATCTATGCCGCTCTGCTTGAAAGGCTTGTTAGGAGTAATTCTGGCAGCTGGTAACTGTCCCATCAATTGTTCTCGAGTACGGGCTGCATGACGAACACATACTACGCAACTACGTACAAACCGTTTCACTTGACTTTTAGCATCAATTATCCAATATTTCGATCTTAAGTAGTTTATCATTATTTGAGGACCCCCATGCATAGTTCTTAAGTGTGCTTCAGAAATTATTAAACTTGTCATATGTGACTTTGATGGAAGAATAATTGGATGCTTACTATCGTGACTTACCATCGCTCTACTCAAACGTCCACCTACTCGCATTATGCCTGCTGCATCGATAAATGGATTTAAAGAGGTAAGTTTGTGTTTTTTCTTAACCATACCATACTTTCTTAAACTTTCTAATTCCTCGTTAAAACTCTGGTATTGATATTGTTTGATACATATATATAAAGTTTCATTTAACTCTTTCCCTGTTAGCCATTGAGGAAGACTGTCAGAGTTGCGTTTTGTACTTCGTAATATAAATCTTCTACACCATGACATGACTCTGACGAGTCTATTCAATGTTGAGAATCTTACCCAAATAGAATTATCCTCCATGCTAGCTAGTGTTTGACAAACCTTTACCGATTTTTCTTCTGTATTAGTCTCACACTTTGTATCAATGCCATAATCTATTGTTTTATCTTTAAGCCACTCAGGTCCAGTCTTCCACATTTCAATTTTACATAAATCGGATGGCATAACTCCACGTGAAGCGCAATCAGCAGGGTTCTCCTTAGATTGCACATGTGACCATTGTGATCTGTCTAAGCTGCTTAATATTTCCGATACCCTATTGGCCACGAATACTTTCCACCTGCTTGGATGGCTACTTAACCAAGCAAGAACTACCGATGAGTCGGTCCATGCATGTGCTTGTTGCTTGGGGATTTTTAAAACATCACAGACTTCCACTATTAATTTTGTGAGGAGAACTGCACCGCACAGTTCCAGGCGGGGTATCGATATCTGCTTGATCGGTGCCACTTTTGTTTTGGATGCTATAAGATGGACGTGAACTTCTCCGTTTTTATCAAGGACATGCAGGTAAACTACTGCTGCAAAGGCTGCATTAGAAGCATCACAGAATCCGTGAAGCTGTACGCTTGTATCATCACTGCATGTTCTTATCCATCGTGGTACCCCAAAATTTGAGAGTAGACCCAATTCACTTCTATACGTGATCCATTCTGACAACAATTGAGGGGTAAGTTCATCATCCCACTGTAGTCCTGACATCCATAGCTTTTGAATGAATATTTTTGCTTTTATAATGACGGGGGCGAGCCAGCCTAAAGGATCATAGAGTCGCGAAATGTCTGATATAACTTTTCTTTTTGTTACAGGTTCATCGAGTGGAGCCAACTGCACTGCGTACGTAAAGGTATCACTATGCCTATCCTAGGTAAGACCCAAAATTT